ATCGGAGGACGGTGTTCTCTTCTTGGCGTTCGAGAGATACCCGCAAAGATTCTCGGTCAGCGGAGAGTTTGTTGATGAGAATTAGCGGTGAGAAATCCTGAGTTTCCCGATATACTCTACTAGCCCGGTGTAATTTCCTTTTAATAACCTATCGTGGCCGGGTTTATTGGCGTAAAAAGCCTTACAGGAAAAACGAGTTGAAAAGAATTCAGTAGGTTTTGGTAAAAGATGTCACTGACGCGGTGTGTATTTCTCGACAGGAGGATGTCGTCCCAATCCTGGGGAGCCAGTGTGGACGAAAAAGCTTGTGAAATATCCGGTGAGAGGAGATAAAACATGGAAGGACTCAGAGGAGCAGTTGGGCCATAACTGACGACGCAGTGGTCACTTCTCGGGAAGCGTGGGCAACTGCAGCTGTAGTCAAATGGCCATCGTTGGAGAATATTAGGTCCAGAGTATGTAGTCTACGACTGGAACTACGCACAATTTGGGACCAGCCCTCCATACCAAGTTGTGCAAGCAGCGCGGCGTAACGGGAGTGGCCCGTGGTGGGGGAACAGAAGATGTCCGGCAGGTTGAAGTTACATGACAGAAATTCAGACGGATGAGGAAGGGTATGCACAGTGGAGATGATACGGAAAAGATCAGCAATAGGAGCGGAGGCGGGGGCAGGTGGTAAATAGAATCAACCCACCAGTACAGGTCGTTTGGCCTGTTCTATTGACAAACTAATGACCTCTGGAATCCATCCAAGAGAAGTTCCGACTTAGAATAGGTGGCACAAACACCGCTCCCTGAGTTTTCCTTAACGGAGCGGTAAGTATCATAGCCAGGGATTGAGATGGCCGTGACAGGAGTTTCATCCGTGTGCCATGTTCCAGCCACACAGATCATACTTGGTCGTGCAATTGCTCCAATTGCTAGGAGTTTATTGCTTTTGGGCAGTAATGAGCGGACATTGAACAATATTATTGAAAAGCTCATTGGCGAGCAGACGGTACTAAGTAGGAACTTTGTAACCTCACTCACGGTGGGGTTCTGCACTGGAGGGACTGGGTACCTGGTGGTTGGATTATACGAAACAGGGTCCGGAGTCTGGGAGGGAGTATTCAGTACTGGTTGCCGACGGATAAATCGTCGTAGAAATAGGCTTGAACACACGGCAGGAGGTACTGTATCAGGCTCAGTATGGGGTATAGAATGATTTTGGGAGGAGGGCATGCAGCTGAATG